TGTTACGTACCGTCTTGTCTGTCTTTGGCAGACTCCTTGTTACTGCAAGCGGTTACTGTGTGCTGACATAGAAGTCAGAACTAGTCATCAAACACTTGACACTGGATAGGGCAAGGTCGACAACACATATAAGGCATTGACAGAGGGACTCAGCCTCGTTGTGATTTTCTGCGGGACTGGAGGTAGAGGGATTAGGCATTGTTTGAGTACGCCATAATAATAATAGTAATAATAATAATGCGGTGAATGGTAATTTTTTTTTTTTTTTTTTTAATATCTAGAAACCACGAGTTCTTAACTCTTTGGCTCGGTACTATAGATATCGCAACCCTTCGGCCTTGATTCCATGATAAATACCGTAAATCTAGGAGAAATGTGGCTTTTCTGCCTACCCCGGAAAAAAGAGCGTCAGTAGCTAGTTAAATGCAGAGAAAATCGTGCAGGGATAGAAAAGCTAATCAGTCCTCGTTGAGATAGATAAAAGTCGTAAACTTATAAGTATAATTAGACGTAGACAGTGAATGTTTGTGTGTGTGGACATGTTATGAAAAAGGAGTGGACTCCATAACTTAAGGGATGTATTTAAGCCTGATTATTTAGAGTCGCATGGTTAGTGCTGTCCCGACGGACCGTACGAGTGTGTGTGTGTGTGTGTGTGTGTGTGTGTGTGTGTGTGTGTGTGTGTGCGTGCGTGCGTGCCCCTGATAGAATAAAATCCCTCAACCTTACAGATGATTTGAACCCAGCATTCCTTATTGAGAGCCCAGCGTTCGAATCGTTCGGCCAGCTGTTCCTCAATAGTAGGGTTTATGTGCTAAAATCGATGTCTTTCTGATACACACACGCAGACACACGCATGCGCACGTACACACGCGCGCACACACAATCACGCGCACATACGCACATATATATATATATACACGTGCGTGTGTGCCGTGGCTGTGCGTGTGGGCATATATATATATATATATATATATATATATATATATATTATATATATATATATATATATATATATATATATATATATAGAGAGAGAGAGAGAGAGAGAGAATTATTTCCAGTACTTCATCAGCTAATATTGCAGAAGATCATCGAGACTCTATAGAACCATTTAATTTCTCTTAGCCGCCGGACAGTTTCTGTTACGTCTTGAGAAACTTCTCACTGTCACGTCTGCCGGCACCTACTTCCGAGCCTCTATGACGCCAGGACAGTTTCATTTCCCACAGTTCGCTTCCCTCTCCAGAAGAATCGGCACCCCCATTAATAAAAGTAGCACGCTATCCCAGTGCAATAAACTGCCCCAATCTCATCCATCACGCAGTAGTCTCCTTGCCTTTTCACCCTTTCCCCCATCTTCTGCACTTGATAGTGCCCCTCGGATGTGTGTGATACCATCACTGTCCAGGGCCGCTGTCAGGGTACTTGCCGCCTGAGTGCTCGAATATAACAGTTGTGGTAGTTCTACTGTTTTTATAGGCGTTGCTGTTTTAGTATATACGTGAGTTCGTGGGCAGTCATAACTTGTTTGATGGCTTCAGAACTGCTGATATAAAAATGTGCTATATGTGGTCAAGAGCCGTTGGTAGAGAGTAAAACGAGACAGATCCTAAAAACAATTAATGTGATAATATACATTAACTTTTCGTTGTCGTCTTCATTTTATTATTATTATTGTTCTTTATCATCGTCTCTTCAGTTTGTTATTATTATTAAACTATGATTAGTGTTATTCAACTTTCTGGGGATAATTGAATCTTAGTTTGATTTTCTACATCTGGCGCACTACTCTTACTACTGTTGCAGTTTTTACTACTACTACTACTACTACTACTACTACTACTACTACTACTACTACTACTACTACTACTACTACTACTACTACTACTACTACTACTACTACTACTACTACTACTACTACTACTACTACTACTACTACTACTACTACTACTACTACTACTACTACTACTACTACTACTACTACTACTACTACTACTACTATACTACTACTACTACTACTACTACTACTACTACACTACTACTACTACTACTACTACTACTACTACTACTACTACTACTACTACTACTACTACTACTACTACACTACTACTACTACTACTACTACTACTACTACTACTACTACTACTACTACTACTACTACTACTACTACTACTACTACTACTACTACTACTACTACTACTACTACTACTACTACTACTACTACTACTACTACTACGACGACGACGACGACGACGACGACGACGACGACGACGACGACGACGACGACGACGACGACGACGACGACGACGACGACGACGACGACGACGACGACGACGACGACGACTACTACTGCTACTACTACTACTACTACTACTACTACCACCACCACCACTAGTACTACAGCCACTGCACTACTACTACCACCACTATCATCATCACCGCCTCTGCTGCTGCTACAACCACCATCGTAATCACTACTCTACCACCAAATTGTCATCATCATTGTAATCAGCCTCATCACCCAGTACCGTTGACGGTCATGAAAGCTTGGGATATTTAAGGTTTACAACTTGCACACGGGACTTCCTGTTCTTCGCTTGCATCAAGTCCGAGAAGAGTCTGATGTCGTTACTTAAACGTAAAAGCCCCTTTACACTCCTGTGGCGCATCGGTCAAGTGAGGCCATCTTTACTTCCAAGGACTCTACCAGGTACCCATTTATGACTGAATCAACATGGGAACCAAGGTCGTGTTTGAAGAAGAAAATACGAAACTGGATTTGAACCTACCATCTTTGGATTCACAGACGAGCGTCTCGCAGCTACCCCACGGCGACTCCCGATCACGTTACCTAGAAGAGGGTTTGGGGGGGGGGGGAGCTCAAGACAGGTTAGTGAGCATCATCATTTTCACGTGAGATTGTTGAAGACATCACAGGCTCTGTGCTGGCATTCCAGCGTGGGCGACTGTCTGAACACACACGCACGCGCGCACAGGCACATTTGTGTGTGTGTGCGTGTATATGTATCTATACTATATATATTTAAATATGTATATATATAATTATGTATAAAACAATAATTATATATATATATATATATATATATATATATATATATATATATATATATATATATATATTTTGCATACTGTTGGTTCCTTGCCCTGTAAATTTTATATACATATAATATACACATGCACTTCAACATTCATTCATCAGTATACAAACAAGGTGGTTATCATGCATTCGTATTGATGTAAATAACATAATTTCGTTTTTGGATTTACAAAACAAAAAACAAACAAAAACTCCACAGCTCTCCATCTCCCCCTTTTCTTCCCCTCCTCTTTTTTGCCTCTGTCTCCCCCTCCCGCCCTTCATGTCCCACTGCATATCTGGGAGATACGGCAGACTGACGACGAGGCGGGAAACCCTTGCGTGATAATTAGTGTCTTTCTGGCGCGGATGACATCATGGTCCGGGCGATGTGTGCGATTTCACAATTAATTTCGTGCTTGTCGACTTCTACGGAACTGAAACTAATGGAATGGTTTTCATCTTCATCAAGGCTGCCTGAGTGCTTCCTGGGCACGTCGACATATTGGGCAGATTGAGAATGATGGGGGCACATTAGACTGACTCCCCTACTTGGAAGTCCGAGTGTAGAATTGTAAATAGGGCTAATGCTACTTTTAGTCATTGTTACAAGAATTGAGGCTGGTATTTGCTTTGATCCGGTACTTTAAGTCATTGTGACGGATACCGTAATGAGAAGGTGTCAGGGTATTTTCTACACGGTACTATTTTGTTTCGTAGGTTCCGGAACCGAACTTTTTTATTTCCTTGGTCCCAGGTCAACCCAGCCTTGAGTGGGTACAAGTTACATTCTTGGGAAGTAAAGGTGGCCTGCGTGATGCTGACCACATCACCCACAAAGTACTAATTGGTCTATAAAATATCAGTCTAGATTTATGCCCCTAAAGACTTAAGAAAAAAGGTCCTTTAACTTATTTCTTCGCGTTCACCTGCTGTAAACTGTCGGAAAGTTCTACATGCTCAACCACATCTGGATTTTAGGTATGTTCTTGAACCAGAGTGTTGCGTGGACATCCGCGTTACCGATTTGACTTATTTGTATGCAGACTGTTGGTTGTAGGTGAAATTAGTGAACAGCGGTGAAGCTATAAAAATATCATGAAAAGATATAAAACCGAACGAAAGATAGATCAGCGAACTTCACAGGTACAAAAAAAAAAAACACAGACAAACGTGAACGTTGCAGCTATAGAGCCTTCATCAGCACATACATAAATCAAACAAAAAACCACACGAATTCAGGACCAACCTCAGCATTGATTGGCTGTTTATGAAATCACTAGGAAATTTCATGTTAACTCGCTTGCCACTGCTTTCTAAATACCACTGTTGAAACCAAAGCAAGGCGGCTTGACACGACTGCACCACTAGAAAGCGTTGTTTGATCCCCTGATAATATGTTAATGTGATCTTGTGGTTAAGATAGGAGTTTGTTTATCCAGATTCGGTGGGGAACAGTCAGTATATGTACATTGAGATGGCTGCTGCGTACAAGGGAGCAGGCACGGCAACGCCTGATATGCAGCTACGTGGATGCTGAATGTTGAATCAAGAATCGACATAACAGCAGTCGGGACACTCCCATAATCGCCCCGTTCTCATCTTCAGCAACAAGCAATGAGTTCCAGTTCTGATGGTCACTGTAACTGTCTGATTGTGTATGCGTCAGCCAGATCCCCTGGATGTGAATACAGTGAACCAATCGTTCAGCATGAAAGAATATAATAGTCCTATGGCATGGATGCCAAGAAAGAGTATACATCTAATTGTATTTAATATTAGAATATAATTGTGTTAATGATACTGGAATATTGTCTTTTATCTTTTCAGCTTGTGATCGACTTCAGGTGTGTGATGATAAAATTGCGTTGATCTGTAAACTACCCAACTGAAAGTCAATATGGGCAAGGACGGGAGATTAGTTGTCATCTTCTTGTATTTGTTGTGCTTGACACGGGCTCAGATTTCCTTCGATGTTCAGGAGGAGAAGCCAGCGCCATTGTTATTAGGCAACATTGCCAGCAAAGCCAACATCACCAAAACCGCCGGTATGGAGTTCCATTTGATGACCAAGAACGATCTCTTCGCCGTAGACGCCTCCACTGGAGACTTCAGCGCCATTGTTGTTCTGGATAGAGAAAGCCAGTGCGGTTCTTCCCCAAGTTGTATCATCACAACTTTAGTGGCTGTGTCCAGATCGCCCGATTCCCTCCTGAGGTATACAGTTAATGTGACAATACATGACGCCAACGACCAGAAACCGTACTTTAAATTCACAAGTTTCCCGAAAAGTCTCAGCGAGTTTGTACCTTTACATACCACGATTAAGCTTCCTACAGCTGAAGATAACGATATGGAACCGTCATTTAAAGTGCAGAAATATTATTTACTCCCAGAGTCTCAAACTGTGTTCGACTTGGTTGTCCAGCGAGTGAATCAATCTGACGGGTCTGTAGACTTTGATGTGCAACTTCGACTTAAGCAGAAACTGGATAGAGAGAAAGCGGATTCATATACCTTAACCCTGGTTGCCTCTGATCTGGGTAGTCCTAGTAATGAAGGACGGTTACAGGTTGTGATTACGGTAACTGACGAAAATGACAACAGCCCGGTGTTCCAGAAACCTGAATATAATATAACTATCAACGAGAGTACACCGATTGACACAAGTGTACTGAATGTTTTAGCCACCGATGCAGATATTGGCGAGAACGGGCGAGTTGGATACGAGATCTCCAATAATATTGACAGAAGAGTGACCAAGTACTTCGTGGCGGATCGTGCTTCTGGTGCCGTCAAGGTGGCCAGTAGTTTGAAGAAGGAGGGAGAAACTGTGTTTATATTTAAAGTCAAAGCGTTTGACCATGGGACTCCGATGATGTTCTCAGAAGTTAACGTGCGGATTTCTGTAGAAGATACAGTTAACGACCCACCAGGAATCAGTGTTAGTCTTTTGAGGCCCAAAAACAACAGTGCTGTGGTGTCAGAGGATGCCGTCGTAGGGACCACAGTAGCCATTGTTGACGTTACTGATACAGACGTGGGCTTGAATGGACAGACTAACTGTACCTGCATCAGTGAATCCTTCAGCATGAAAGAATACAACAGTCCTGGGGCGTACACGATTTCAGTTGCAGCTGGTCTGGACAGAGAAAAGATATCCACGCACGTTATCACGATACAGTGCATGGATAAGGGCACACCGCCACTGTCCAGCATGGCCAAACTGTCGGTGATAGTAGAGGACGTTAACGACCACCCACCTCAGTTTACAAGGAGATCATACGAAATGAGGGTCCGAGAAAACCAGGAGTCTGGTGTCCTTGTAGGCAATGTATTCGCAACAGATGCCGATGATGGGGTCAACGCCCAGCTGCGTTATTCCTTAGACCCCAGCGTGGTTGAATTTGAAATCAACGAATCAAATGGCTTCGTCTACACTGCGGTGAAAAATTTAGACAGGGAGATGAAAGATCGTTACAGCTTCAGTGTTTATGCGTTTGACACTAGCTTTTCTCCTCATACTGCTACGGCTACAGTCATTGTTAACATCGAGGATGTGAACGACGAATGGCCCAGATTCGACAACTCATCCTACAGATTTTTGGTCTCTGAAAGTACCATCACCAGCACGGTCATTGGCAAGGTACATGCAACAGATCCCGATTTGGGCCTAGGTGGTAGGGTGGAGTATCTCTTTGTCCATTCTCCACTTTACATGGACCCGCCGTTTATATTGTCTAAAGACAACGGGGCGATTACTTTGACACAAGCTTTGGACTATGAAACCACAAGACAGTACAGTTTTGTGGTGACTGCCGTTGATTTAGGGAACCCACCTAGAAACTCCTCAGTCGAGGTTCACATTGAAGTAACCGATGTAAACGACAATGATCCAGTCATCGCTTTCCCCAATCCTGACAATCTGAGTGTGACTCTCAACCTGGACGTGACCCCGGGTCAGGAGATTATTAGGGTCATTGCCCATGATTCCGACCACGGAGACAGCGGGCGCCTCACCTATTCTCTTGGCGCCATGAACACCTCGGTAGCAAAACTCTTCTGGATCAACGAGGACACGGGGCTGCTGACTCTGGTAGCTCCTCTGACGCAGGCAGACGTGCGCAGCTACAACATCGTGATTAGCGTCAACGACAACGGTGTGCCTCAAAGAGCAACACAGGCTCTATTACATATCGAAATCGTCCATGATGCTAAAGAGTCACGATCCAGAGAATCTTACACCACAATCGTCATTATAATGGTCTGCGTGACACTTCTTGTTGCCGTCGTTGTGCTGGTTACTCTTTGCTTCATTAAGTACATCGATAAAAGGAAGTTTGACTCCGAAAGAAGCATCCACAAATCAACATTTGAGCCTATGAACAAGTTGACTGACGACTACCTTCATACAGGCGGCGGCGACGATGAGATGGAACACGGCATGATAATTAGTCCCGTTCATCAGAAGCAGATCCCATCCTTTCAGAACCAGCGGTTGGGAAGCAATAGTAGAAACGGTAAAAAATGTGTGACATTCGACAGTGCTATCAGATCATCGGATACTTCCACGGTTTCCGGGTCCGTAAGTACGCAACCCGACTCCGGCTTTAGTAGCATTGGTTCTGGCTTTCATTCTGCACCCAACTCCGTCGCTCAAGTCCCGTATGTCTCCACACTGGCCAGCACGTTCAATCCAGGATCATTAGACCTATACAAAACAAATTGTATTGCCAGAAGTGCACCCTCTCCAACAATGTCCAGCAGTGCTACAAACGGACCGCCAGTTCCTTTATTTTTCAAGACGACGAGAACTAACAGTGGCACCAGTCTCATGGAGTGTGGTACTGGAGTCCACTCCAGTAGTCCAGAATTTCAACAGATAGGAGCCGATGAAGTAGTGGGCACGGCCTTACAGAATCATAACGCCCTGGTCAGGTCAGTGAGAAGCAAGGACAGGAGGCCACCCTATGCCAGTCGGCAGGTAAGCTTACTTGTTTCATTGATAGTTGATACTTTGGTTTAGCTCGCCTCATATCGTTTTAGTTCTCTTGTGCCTTGAGGTGCCATTGTGAAATATACACTTTGCAAGAGTGTTTAATAACAAATTCACTGAAAGTTCATACATTTGTGTAGTTCGTTCACGTCATTTTGATTCTCTTGTGCCTTAATGTGTCACGGTGAAATACACACTGAAATTTGTCTTGACTGCAGTCACCCCCATATTTTCACAATTTTAAAAAATAAACACTGTCTTCTTCTTCTTCTTCTTCTTCTTCTTCTTCTTCTTCTTCTTCTTCTTCTTCTTCTTCTTCTTCTTCTTCTTCTTCTCTTCTTCTTTTCTTCTTCTTCTTCTTCTTCTTCTTTCTTCTTCTTCTTCTTCTTCTTCTTCTTCTTCTTCTTCTTCTTCTTCTTCTTCTTCTTCTTCTTCTTCTTCTTCTTCTTCTTCTTTTTCTCTTCTTCTTCTTTCTTCTTCTTCTTCTTCTTCTTCTTCTTCTTCTTCTTCTTCTTCTTCTTCTTCTTCTTCTTCTTCTTCTTCTTCTTCTTCTTCTTCTTCTTCTTCTTCTTCTTCTTCTTCTTCTTCTTCTTCTTCTTCTTCTTCTTCTTCTTCTTCTTCTTCTTCTTCTTCTTCTTCTTCTTCTTCTTCTTCTTTCTTCTTCTTCTTCTTCTTTTCTTCTTCTTCTTCTTCTTCTTCTTCTTCTTCTTCTTCTTCTTCTTCTTCTTCTTCTTCTTCTTCTTCTTCTTGGATCCTTTTGTCAAAAAACTTTTATCAAAAGACCGGTAGCCTTTATGAAAGCTATCATGCAGTCCATATCCTCTCGTGTACCATACAGCTTTGTCTTCATTGTGGTTGGAACAGGCCAGATTGCATCTCTGTTCTCAGCATACAGTTGAAAGCGTTGGAGCACATGCTCAGCATTTTCGGGTGCCACGCTGCAATGACACGCCTCCGTGTTTCCTACACCGTAAAATTTTGAACATATGTTGACGAAGTCTGTTGGACCCACTCCTTAGTCTGAATATAATACACTATCCCTCTCTATGAGGCGATGAAGCGAGTCTTAGGCGGAGAATCTTGTGTGTGTATCCAGCCACCTTTTTTTTTTAGATACTAGACTATTAATGTTTTCGTCTCTTGGTGGGTTAGGTTAAGTCGCTATTGGGTTGTACCATGTCACTGCCGCTTCTGGCCAATCTGTCCGCTATTTCATTGCCCTCCAAGCCACAATAACCTGTAATCCATTGCAGTACATATTTTTCTACTTAAGAGCCTAAGTGAATTAGCTGTTGCATCAAGTCTACAAACTGAGTGTCTTTTGGGATAACAATTGCTTGTAGAACCGACACAGCATCAGTCAGAAAGACGACTTTGTTATATTTGCTGTGCTGTTGTCCGTTCAGGAAAGAACATGCCTCCAGAAGTGCTTCTGCCTCTGCTCTGTAATTTGAGGAATATGAACCTGTTAGTACAGCCTTGTTGATTTTTAAACCATTTCAGCATTCTAAGTATGTTCCTCCTCCTCCGTCTCATACTGTTCCCTTGGCTGAACCATCTGTATATACTCTAATCCAACTCTGGTGTGGATGAAGTCTATTAATCTCTTTTTCTCTCCTTCTGTAATTGATTTCATATCAGTGCTGCTCATTGATGATTTGGAGGAGATACCTGTTACAGTGGTTCTGACTGTAGGCAGGTTATCCCTAAACGGGGGGGGGGGGGGGGGGGGGGTCGTTGTAAGGGTTCAGAGGAACATTTGGTATTATGGGACGGAGTTTAAGGACAGCGAGCTTTGCATCTGCGTTCTTAAAAATGCAGGTTATCTTTAGTCTTGCCTTCTGGGGGTTTCTGCAGTCGGCTGTGCATGTGTTGTTCTTTAAAGTGGTGATATTTGGAACGCTGGGTGAGTAGCTTTGTGTCTTTTCTATCTTCCAGATCATGGAGACCAGTAATTGTTTCTATGTCTGATATGGGCGTGGAGCGCATAGCCCCTGTCATATTAAGGAGATATGGTTTTGGGTCTTTAAGACTTTTTTTTTTTGAAAATTTGATTTAGCTGCTGTGCCCCAAGCAGCTATCCCATATTCTAGTGTTGGCCTCACATAGCCTGTATAGGTCCTCTTGAGGACACTGAGGTTTGCCCTCCAGTCTGTTCCAGCTAACTTCCTCATCAGTTGGGTTCTTTTGAGCCCCTTGCTCTGTGTCTTTTCTATCTGTTTTCTCCACATGTCTTGGGTCAAAGGTTTCTCCTAAATATGTCTGTGAGTCATCATGTTTCAGTGCCTGGCTGCCAGTGATCGTTTGTGTGCTTCGTATCTGGGGGTTTCCCATGGACTGCTAATTCCTCGTCTATCGTTTGCATCGTCGGCCTGTCTTTCGATTGCCAGTTGTCTTTACATCAATACTTGTTGTAGTATATACCTTATGTTGGTTGCTAGGTTCAGTAGGTTCGCGTCTTTGCTAATGGAATCTATCGCTGTCGCTGCCTCCACTTGCGGATTTTGTCAATAAAACGTGTGTAGTAATAGATTGCAATATCATTGCATCTGTTGGTAATCACATACCTTGAGCTCAACCATTTCTGTCTGCCTATCATTGTTGAACAGGCGCATTGTGTTAGTTCTACTATGCCTTGTTTTCAACACTTGCCCAGGCGAGGGGAAAAAAAAAAGAAACATATTACTTTTATAGAGACGACAGTTACCCACAGGCTGCTGTTAGAGCACTAGATGTCACCGAACTACCATTGCCAGACTCTATTTATTGAGGCAACTCTTCTCTCTGTTTAGAATGATACAATGATAAACTATTTAAATATGATAGTATGTTTAGAAGGATAAACACACTGGTCTGGATTGATTGGCACTCATAGATGCAGAGGAAAGAAGTAAAGATAGTAATGCATCTATGAGTGCCATTCTTCTTCTTCTTCTTCTTCTTCTTCTTCTTCTTCTTCTTCTTCTTCTTCTTCTTCTTCTTCTTCTTCTTCTTCTTCTTCTACTGCTGCTGCTCCTCCTCCTCCGCTGTCATCTTGGTTGCTAAGAAATTTTAGTGCCGATAAAAACATGGCAGTTTCTGTATCATGCTGTTCCAATGACAACGAGAGTTCCATTGCGATTTATTTCTGCGAGCGATTAGAGATGCATATATATATATATATTTTTTGTTTAACGTATCCAGAAACCATGAGTTGTAAACCCTTTGGCTCGGTACTATGGAAATCGCAACCCTTCGGCCTTGATTCCACTATAGGTACCATTATTCTGGGAGAAATGTGGCTTTTCTGCCTACCCCCGGGAGTGAACCCGGACCACAAGGAGTTCGTCACCCGGCCGCCGCGAAAGTCAAGTTTAACCAACTTCGCTAGAGAGCTGGGCTAGAGATGCATATAACAAAAGAACGAATTGGAGCGTCTACTTTATTACCACACATAGAATGATATTGAGGCGGTGGCGTGGGGGCAAATGGTTCGAACACAAGAGTTATGTATACGCAGACAGACGTAATTACGCAGCGTGTGATTTCAGAGAGGGACTACGGTATACCAGCCATTTATCTCACCCGATCGTCTCCTCTTTGTCTGCGTTGCGATTTTTGAATGTGCTTTCAATGTCACTTTCATTTTGTAATCATCTGTCTTGTCTGTCTGTGTCTGGTTTTCCGTCTGTCGGTTTGTCGGCCTGTCGGTTTATTTGCCTATCTATGTCTGCCTATGTTCAAGTACATGCGCATGCTTGTATTCGTATATGTTTATACATCACTTTATATCAATCTATTGTTTTTTTTTTTCCACATCATTGATAATGTGTGTGTGTGTGTGTGTGTCTGTCTGTCTGCCTGTTTCAGTACCTGTATACTAGAATATAGAATGTGCAACAGAGGTATAACATGGCTCTGTGTTACCCAACAGCCGTGTGCAGGGACCAGTGGCCACGACGCAGACTTATGCAGCAGCTCGAGCATGGAGACCAGTGATAGCGGGCATGGTGGGAGTGAACTTGATGTCTCCGTGATCAAGGTCAGTTTTCTGATTGTAAATAGCCGTGTGTGTGTTTGCGGGGGGGGGGGGGGGGAGGGGGGGATAGACCTAATGCCCCCACCCCCTTCAAAGATATGTCGTAATAGTTGACTAATTAAAAATGCATTCTTCGAAGTCTTGAGTGCATCTGCCTGAGAAGGAAGATCCTACAGTCTCTATACAAATAAATCAGATAAAGGAATGTGCACGCAAAAATAAAGTTTAAGGACATTTCTAACGTCCAGAAGTGGACAAACAGCAAGAACTTTTTGCCAGTTTACAGGCGGTAAACGCGAAGTAGAAGAAGAAATGGCCACCCAAATATTTCTGGCTGCAATTGGTCCCGTGTCTTCTTCATGTTGGCCTGAATTAATCTCAAGCAGAAAGTTCTGGGGGAGTCGCCATGGCCGAGCGGCTAGACGCTCGCCGCGGATCGGAAGGTCGTGGGTTCGCTTCCTGGCGGAGCCGGACTTTCTTTAAAAATGACCTTGGCTCCTAGGTCGACCCAGCCTTGAGTGGGTACCGGATGCAGTCCCAGGAAAGTGAAGGCGGCCGGCGTGATACTGACATCACCCATCTTGTGCCGATTGGTCTATAAAAATATAGGTCTAGCCCTATATGCCCTATACGCCTTAAGGCGTGGAAAAGGGTCCTTTACTTTTTTACTTTTTAGAAAGTTCTGGTTACGAACAACCTCCAATGTAAGCAGATCCTTAATTAGCCACTTTTTACTGTCTATCACCCGCACCCCTCCCTTTATAAGTGTTTAGTTTATATGGCTGTAGGGTTCTAAGGGATGAGGATTTGGTAGTTATCGCCACGCCCAACCCTTGTCGCCACTTACGACATGCATGGTAGGGTGCATTGATACTATTCCCTGCTTCCCCGAACCCCTACCCCAGCCACCTTTTCCCCCGTAACTCACGGGCTGTTACTCTGCTCTCGACAGAGTCTTACAAAATCAAGAAATGTTTTACCCCTCAGTTCAGATGTTTATGGTTTATACAGA